CTCTTCCTTCTCTATTTCTTTTCAGGGAATGAGTGTCTACTTATTAGCCAAGCTAGAAACTTGTATTCTTCTTTCCCCCTCATCCCTGCCCAATCACTCAATCCCGTTGCTTCTGACTATCAGACTCCCATTCTCTTTTCTGAATTACTGCATTAGTAATGGAAAACTGATCATCTTCTCTGCCACTCATTTTTTGTATTAAGCGAAACTAGTCTGTTTACAGGGCAGACTTGATAATGTCACTTCCTAGTTTGGAGTTCTTGCTTTCCATTGTTAACCTCAGGGTAAATTCTAAACTCCTTAGTACATAGTAGAAGGTCCCTGCTTACCTTCGTAGCCTTATACTTGCCTCTTTTTTCATAGTGAACTACTGTCATTTCTTCATGATGCTAGACCCTCTTGTCTCCTTGATCTCATAGATGCTATTTTCTCTACTTGGAATGCTTCCCTATTCTTTATATGCCCATTTTTGCCTCATTTCTGGTTTTATCCTTTCATTCTGAGCTTTGCTGTCTTTCAGGAAAATGTTTCTGTTTTTTGCTGTTCACCATGACTCTTTAAGAAAGAGCCAGATACTCCTTATATATGTTACTATAGTGTCCTGTAAACAACCTCCCTAATCACTGCTCTTACACTGAATTTAGTAATTGCTTTTTTTCACTTGTTTCTATCTCCCACAGGACTTTAAGCTCTTTGAGGGTAGAGCTGGGGCTTTGCTAATATATATATTTTTGCACCTGGCCGTGAAAGCTGCTCAATAAGTATCTGTTGAATGACTTAATGAATCGATGAATATTAAATGAATTAATGTGCCTGGGTAGACTGGAGAGGGGTAGAATAAGATGGTAGGTTTTGTATTTTGGCAGGGATCAGTTCTCAAGAAAGTGGATCAAATAAATGTAAGTATCATATTTCATTGACTATGTGTCAGTTGTAATGAAAGCCTATGGATTAGTGTCTTATCACTATTTTATTGATCTCTAACATGAGGCTGTGTCTCTATGACTTGAATGGCCTATATGTCTTACTTTATGTTGTTTGGTGGGTATTGGGGTTTATGTTCCCTGCCTCTAAACCTAGTTGATTTTTCTATTAGTTTTCCTGCCATAATTTTTATTGACGCCCAGTCTTTTGTTTAACCTTACTACTTTAGGTTGTTATTTGTTGGGTATCTTCTCCCTTGAAGATGCAAGTTACTCAGGGCAGGGAGGGAACCTGAGTGTGGCTCAGAGTAAGGGAGGACTTTAGTTTGGGGCAGGACTTTGAAGGGTTCTGTTAAAGATGAGGAGCCTAGAAGCAGGATCTGAAATTACATCTTCTCCTGTCCCAGAGGGAACTTCTTTGAGTTAGGGGTGCACCTATCAGGGTGGTTTGATGACTGGGCATTACTAGGACTAGGGTATAACTTCCCTGGGGTTATTCTGTTAGGAAGTAGTGTTTGGGATTTGATGTTTGAGTACCGGCTTCATGAACTTTTCATAACACCAGCAGTTCATTAGCTTTTTGAAACCCCTGCCCACTTAGGAATGAGGAAGAGTGTATAACGCACTTAACCTAACAATTCCTGCTTTCACATTGAAAAAGAACTTAGTGATAGCAACAACAAAATTAGGAATTAAATCATAGGCTATAGTGTTAGCTTGTATATGTGATTTTTGTGTTATAAAACAGTGCCCTATTATCTTTTGAAACTAAGCAATTTTATTACATTTAACTTGATTTTGTATTGCAAGTTATTTAAATGGCATACATTTATCAACAGGACGACATTAATGAATTATCAGTATGCAGGAACTTTGGAAGGGTTATATTTACATCCGCTGTGCTAATAAGAGTATCAAAAATTCCTGTTTGAACTGTGATATACTTGTGTTATAGTTTAGTTATGAGAGAATATAGTTTAAGATGATGAATGTTGAAGTAAACATCTATGAGTTTACTGAGGGATTAACCAAATACAGCAAAATTAAAATTAGTTATCAATAATTAATAATTAGGAACTTATAAAAATGATATAGTAATTAGAAAGCAAGAATAACAGCAATGATGACAAAGACCCATTTAAAATATCACTGGTGTCTTTTTAAAAACTACATGAATTTGAGTTTACTTCTCTGTACACACAATAGGTGCTTTTGCCAGACTTCTTTTTTAAAAAACTTTTTTATTTTTAATTTTTATGAGAACATAGTAGGTGTATATATTTATGGGGTACATGAGATATTTTGACACAAACATACGATATGCAATAATCACATCAAGGTAAATGATGTATCTGTCACCTCAAGCATTCATTATTTCTTTATGTTGTGAAAAGTACAATTATACTCTTTTAATTTAAAATATGTTATAAATAATTGTTGACTGTAGTCACCCTGTTGTACTATATCATATTCTAGAGCTTATTCATTCTAACTACATTTTTGTACCCATTAACCATCCTCCCCACTACCTTCCTAGCCCCATTACAGACTTATTAGTGACTGAATTAGAGGGCTCAAAATTAGAGCTATAGTAATTTATTTGTGTGTGCTAGTATTAAAACCCATAATAATTCACTTGGAATGATTACTGGTAAGAGGCTCTTAGTCATATGTAAAATGAAAGTATGGAATTGTACCTCATTTTGTCTGTAAGAAATAAAGGGCTCGCTTATTCTTCTTATGCCAGTATATACTTGGGGAAATAAAACCGTACTGTCTTTATCACCTAAGGAAACCTTCTGTGTTACTAAGCACCTTAGTATGGAGAAGAGTTCTTGAGTAAGTTGTACCCAGTTGTTAGTCTTAATGTCATCTCTAGGAGGCATACAGTTCCGACGAATATACAACTTTGGTATAGTATAGTCTTTTTCTGGCAGCCGTGTTCCTCTTCTTGGTCGAAACTTACCTCTTCAACTCACCCCTACTTCTGAAAATGAATCTCCAAAGATTTGATCAGTATATAGTAATATTGTAACACTCACGCTTAGTGTATTCTTCTTTCCCAGGGCTGAGAGAATAATAAGCACTCTAAAAACATACCATTTTTCATCATGAACTCCTTACTTACATAGACATATTTTAAAATTCATGATTAGTGGATTTGTGATCACCATTCTTCTGACAGTTTGACATATATGTCCTTAACTTTATATAGAACTGACAAGAATTCTTCTTTAACATCATACATCTCCTCCTGCACTTTTAACAGCTTAACCTATAGTTGTTCTTCCAGTTTTCTTTACTAATCTTTTCCTTTACCCCTGAGGTTAAGAAGACCTTATCTTATGTAACCTTCTGGATCCTTCAAGGACCTGGACTGTACATCTTAACTCCTTAGCTATTTATGTCATTTGTTCCCATTCATAGTGTCACTAATAATTTGTAATGGCCAAAGGGATGTAAAAACTTTGAGAAATTAGGAAATCATTTAGAAAAACAAGGTTCTGTTTTGTTAATCTGTTTTGGTTTATTAACTTCTTGAGCCTGTTCTGTTTCCTTACAAAAAACTTTTCTTATTTTCTTTAGACCCAGCAGGCAAGAACCTCACAAAATTTTGTAACCCATATTCCTTCTCAAGTTACAGTGCATGTTGCATTTTTAAATTTTTTACTTTTCTTGAAGAGTTAATACTTGATACTTCTAGTTCTTTACTTTAAAATTCACTCCTCTACCCATTTCATTCTATATTCAGCTCCTTTGGAGCTCGTCAGTGGCCATAGAAAGCCAGTCAGTTGTAGTGGAAAGAGCTCAGAATTTGGATTTAGAGTTCAAGGGTTAAAGTACCAGTTTTTGTCACTTACCCACTTACAATTCTAGAAAAACTATGTATCTTTGCACTTAAAATGTGATCTGAGGACCAACAACATTGGGCATCCCTGGGGAGCTTGTTAGAAATGCAGAATTTCAGGTCCCACCCAGACCTACTGAGTCAGAATCTGCAAGTTAACAAGATCCCAACACTGAGAAGCACTGTTACATGGTCGTCTTTGCAACTCGGTTTCCCTATACGTAAAGTATGGATAATACTTGCTCTATATATCAATCATCTTAACATCATCTGACACATCATATGTTTTACCAATTTATTGTCAGCCTCCTGCTGGAATACAAATAAGCTCTGCAAGGTAGGGATTATTGTCTGTTCGTTTATTGCTGTATGTAGAACAGTGCCTAGCACATAATAAGCATTCATGTATTTTGAATGAACAATGAATGAATGGACAGCTTGTCAAATCCTGTCATTTCTGTTGCAGTCACTTACTTTACACTGCTGTTTAAAACTGCTTTCATTTCATATGGAAACGTTCGTTGGATTGTGCAACCCAGATTTTTACATTCCCTTCTCACTCATCTTGAAAACTTTAAAACTGTAAACAACTTGCCATGCCATATGGAATTAAGTTCAAACTCTTCAGAGTAACCTTTAGAGTCTTTTTCAGTTTTATGTACTTAAATATATATACATTATACAGGGTGCATTTGCTGGGAGAGTCCTTCAAACTCACTGCACGCATAGCATCCCTGTAGGCCATATTGTACTGCCCCTGTGGGACTTTGGGTGCAAGAGGAACCTGTGAAAATAAGCTGATGATCCTTTGCTGTACCAGGGATCATAAAGTCTTTTGTCTCTGACTGAAGACCTTATGTCTTATGCTAGCCTACAAGACACAATAACAGATTGTAAGTAGGGTGAAATCAAATCCTAGACCCAACAGCATTATCCCATCTCATTGATAATTCTCTAAAAATCCAAGTTTTAAGATCCTTATAATAGTTCATCTGCTGGATATACTATTGTTTATAACCATTACTCTGTTGTTGAAGATTTAAAATATTTTTACTTTAGTTTTCTAATTAATATATGTGTGTGCAAATATTTGTCTCCTTTGATGGCTGTTTCTTTAGGTAGGATTCATTTCTAGGAGCTTTTTAAAGGCTCAAAGCTTGCGTTTTTTCAGCACATAGAATTTAAAATAGAAAATTTTATATAATATTAACAAATCTCTTTTTCTTTAGGAGATGCTTCTAAAGGAGGCATAGCTAAAGTTACTCAATCCAACTTGAAGTCAGGCATCACTACCACTCCTGTTGATTCAGACATTGGATCTCATTTATCCTTGTCCCTTGAGGACCTGTCTCAGTTGACTGTAAGTTCTCCTCTAGAAACTACTACTGGTCAACACACCAATACTCTCAACCAAAGGCCATTAGCGGATACTCATCTAACTGAAGAGACTCTGAAAGTCACAGCTATTCCTGAACCAGCTTACCAGAAGACTGCAACACCAACAGTACTCTCTAGTTCCCACTCACACAGGGGGAAGCCCAGTATTTTCTACCAGCAGGGCTTGCCAGACAGTCATCTAACTGAAGAGGCTTTGAAAGTTTTAGCTGCTCCTGGACCAACTGACCAGACAACTGGCATACCAACTCTAACTTCTACTTCCTACTCACATAGAGAGAAGCCTGGTATTTTTTACCAACAAGAGTTACCAGAGAGTAACTTAACTGAAGAGCCTTTGAAAGTTTCAGCTGCTCCTGGCCCAGTGGAGCAGAAAACTGGAATACCTACAGTATCCTCTACATCCCACTCACATGGAGAGGACCTCCTCTTTTTCTATCGACAGATCTTGCCAGATGGTCATCTAACTGATCAGGCTCTGAAAGTTTCAGCTATGTCTGGACTGGCTGACCAGAAGACTGGGACAGCAACAGTACTCTCTACTCCCCACTCGCATAGAGAGAAGCCTGGTATTTTTTACCAACAAGAGTTCCCAGATAGTCATCAAACTGAAGAGACTCTTAAAGTTTCGTTCACTCCTGGACCAGCTGACCAGAAGACTGAGATACCAGCAGTACAGTCTAGTTCTTACTCACAGAGAGAAAAGCCTAGTATTTTGTACCCACAGGTGTTAGCAGACAGTCATCTACCTGAAGAGGGTCTGAACGTTTCAGCTGTTGCTGGACCAGCTGACCAGAAGACTGGCCTACCAACAGTACCCTCTAACGCATACTCACACAGAGAGAAGCTCCGTATTTTCTACCAACAGGCCTTGCTGGACAGCCAACTACCCGAAGAGGTTCTGAAAAATTCAGCTGTTTCTGGACCAGCTGACAGAAAGACGGGGACACCAACTGTAACCTCTACTTCCTCTGTGTCCTCTTCACTTGGAGAAAAGCCTGGTGCTTTCTATCAGCAGACCTTACCCAATAGTCATCTAACTGAAGAGGCTCTGAAAGTATCAGTTGTTCCTGGACCCAGTGATCAGAAGACTGGGATACCCTCAGCACCATCTAGTTTCTACTCACACAGAGAGAAGCCCGTTATTTTTTCCCAGCAGACCCTACCAGACTTTCTTTTCCCTGAAGAAGCTCTGAAGGTTTCAGCTGTTTCTGTATTGACTGCCCAGAAGACTGAGACACCAACAGTGTCCTCTAATTCTCACTCACATAGCGAGAAATCTAGTATTTTCTACCAGCAAGAGTTGCCAGACAGTGATCTACCTAGAGAATCTCTGAAAATGTCTGCTATTCCTGGACTGACTGACCAGAAGACTGTCCCAACAGCAACAGTACCTTCAGGTTCCTTCTCACATAGAGAGAAGCCCAGTATTTTCTATCAGCAGGAATTGCCAGATAGTCATCCAACTGAAAAGGCTGTGAAAGTTTCAACTGGCCCTGGACCAGCTGACCAGAAGACTGAGATACCAACAATACAGTCTAGTTCTTACCCACAGAGGGAGAAGCCTAGTGTTTTTTACCCACAGGTGTTATCAGACAGTCGTCTACCTGAAGAGAGTCTGAAAGTTTCAGCCTTCCCTGGACCAGCTGATCAGACGACTGACTCACCAGCAGTACCCTCTACTTTCTACTCACAAAGAGAGAAGCCTGGTATTTTCTACCAACAGACCTTGCCAGAGAGTCATCTGCCTAAAGAGGCTCTGAAAATTTCAGTAGCTCCTGGACCAGCAGACCAGAGGACTGGCACACCAACTGTAACCTCAACTTCCTACTCACAATATAGAGAAAAGCCCAGCATTTTCCACCAACAGGCCTTGCAAGGTACTCATATACCTGAAGAGGCTCAGAAAGTTTCAGCTGTTACTGGACTGGGTGACCAGAAGACTTGGATACCAGGAGTACTTTCTACTTTCTACTCACAAAGAGAGAAGCCTGGTATTTTCTATCAACAGACCTTGCCAGGTAGTCATATACCTGAAGAGGCACAGAAAGGTTCAGCTGTTCCTGGACCAGCTGACCAGAAGACTGGGACACCAACTCCAACCTCTACTTCCTACTCACACACAGAGAAGCCTGGTATTTTCTACCAACAGGTCTTGCCAGATAATCATCCAACTGAAGAGGCTCTGAAAATTTCAGTTGCCTATGAACCAGTTGACCAGACAACTGGCACACCAACTGCAACCTCTACTTCCTACTCACAACATCGAGAGAAGCCCAGCATTTTCTACCAACAGTCGTTGCCAAGTAGTCATCTAACTGAAGAGGCACGGAAAGTTTCAGTGGTTCCTGGACCAGCTGACCAGAAGACTGGGATACCAAGTTTACCCTCTACTTTCTACTCACACACAGAGAAGCCTGGTGTTTTCTACCAGCAGGTCTTGCCAGATAATCATGCAACTGAAGAGGCTCTGAATATTTCAGTTGCCTATGAACCAGTTGACCAGACAACTGGCACACCAACTGCAACCTCTACTTCCTACTCACAACATAGAGAGAAGCCCAGCATTTTCTACCAACAGTTGTTGCCAAGTAGTCATCTAACTGAAGAGGCACGGAAAGTTTCAGTGGTTCCTGGACCAGCTGACCAGAAGACTGGGACACCAACTTCAACGTCTACTTTCTACTCACACACAGAGAAGCCTGGTGTTTTCTACCAACAGGTCTTGCCACATAGTCATCCAACTGAAGAGGCTCTGAATATTTCAGTTGCCTATGAACCAGTTGACCAGACAGCTGGCACACCAACTGCAACTTCTACTTCCTACTCACAACATAGAGAGAAGCCCAGCATTTTCTACCAACAGTCGTTGCCAAGTAGTCATCTAACTGAAGAGGCGAAGAACGTTTCAGCAGTTCCTGGACCAGCTGACCAGAAGACTGGGACACCAACTTTACCCTCTACTTTCTACTCACACACAGAGAAGCCTGGTGTTTTCTACCAACAGGTCTTGCCACATAGTCATCTACCTGAAGAGGCTTTGAAAGTTTCAGTTGCTCCTGGACCAGCTGACCAAACGATTGGCACACCAACTGTAACCTCTCCTTCCAGCTCATTTGGAGAGAAGCCCATTGTTATCTACAAACAGGCCTTTCCAGATGGTCATCTACCTGAAGAGTCTCTGAAAGTTTCAGTTGCTCCTGGACCAGTTGACCAGACAACTGGCTCACCAACTGTAACCTCTCCTTCCTACTCGCAACATAGAGCAAAGCCTGGCAGTTTCTACCAGCCGGCATTGCTAGGTAGTCAATTACCTGAAGAGGCTCTCAGAGTTTCATCTGCTCCTGGACCAGCTGACCAGACAACTGGCATACCAACCATAACCTCTACTTCCTACTCACTTGGAGAGAAGCCCATTATTATCTACAAACAGGCCTTTGCAGATGGTCATCTACCTGAAGAGGCTCTGAAAGTTTCCATTGTTTCTGGACCTACTGAAAGGAAGACTGAGATACCAACAGGACCTTTAGGTTCCAGTGCACTTGGAGAGAAGCCCCTTACTTTCTACCAGCAGGCTCTGTTAGACAGTCCTCTAAATAAAGAAGTTGTGAAAGTTTCAGCTGCTCCTGGACCAGTTGACCAGAAGACTGAGACAATACCAGTATATTCTACTCCCTACTCAAATAGGGGGAAGCCCGTCATTTTCTACCAACAGACCCTATCAGACAGTCATTTACCTGAAGAAGCTCTGAAAGTTCCACCTGTTCCTGGACCAGATGCCCAGAAGACTGAGACACCATCAGTATCCTCTAGTTTATACTCACATAGAGAGAAGCCCGTTGTCTTCTACCAACAGGCCCTGCCAGACAGTCAGCTAACTAAAGAAACTCTGAAAGTTTCAGCTGTTCCTCAACCAGCTGACCAGAAGACTGGGTTATCTACTGTAACCTCCTCTTTCTATTCACATACAGAGAAGCCTAATACTTCTTACCAACAAGAGTTGCCAGATGGTCATCTAACTGAAAAGGCTCTGAAAGTTTCAGATGTTCCTGGACCAGCTGACCAGAAGAGTGGGTTATCGACAGTAACCTCTACTTCCTACTCACACAGAGAGAAGCCCATTATTTCCTACCAGCAAGAGTTGCCACGTTTTACTGAAGCAGGTTTGAAAATTTTAAGAGTTCCTGGACCAGCTGACCAGAAGACTGGAATAAACGTCCTGTCCTCTAATTCCTACCCACAGAGAGAGCAGTCTGTCATTTCTTATCAGCAGGAGTTGCCAGATCTTACTGAAGTAACTTTGAAAGCAGTAGGGGTTCCTGGGCCTGCTGACCAGAAGACTGGGATACAAATAGCATCCTCTAGTTCCTACTCAAATAGAGAGAAGCCCAGTATTTTTCATCAGCAGGAGTTGCCAGATATTACTGAAGAAACTTTCAATGTTTTTGTTGTTCCTGGACAAGGTGACCAGAAGGCTGAGATACCAACAGTACCTCTAAGTTACTACTCACATAGAGAGAAGCCTAGTGTTATCTCTCAACAGGAGTTGCCAGACAGTCATCTCACAGAAGAGGCTCTGAAAGTTTCACCTGTTTCTATACCAGCAGAGCAGAAGACTGGGATACCGATAGGACCGTCTAGTTCCTACTCACATTCACATAAAGAGAAACTCAAGATTTCAACTGTGCACATACCAGATGACCAGAAAACTGAGTTTCCAGCAGCTACCCTTAGTTCCTACTCACAAACAGAGAAGCCCAAGATTTCAACTGTGATTGGACCAAATGACCAGAAGACTCCATCCCAGACAGCTTTTCATAGTTCCTATTCTCAAACAGTAAAGCCCGATATTTTATTTCAACAGCAGTTGCCAGATAGAGATCAAAGTAAAGGTATTCTAAAGATTTCAGCTGTCCCTGAACTAACTGATGTGAATACTGGAAAACCAATACCTCTCTCTAGTTCTTATTTTCACAGAGAGAAATCAAGTATTTTCAGTCCACAGGAATTGCCAGGTAGACATGTAACTGAAGATGTGCTGAAGATTTCAACAATTCCTGGACCACCTAGTCAGAAAACAGTATTACCAACAGTGCTTCCTAGTTCCTTTTCACACCGAGAGAAACCCGATATTTTCTATCAAAAGGATTCGCCAGATAGACGTCTAACTGAAGATGCTCTAAAGATCTCAAGTGCTCTTGGGCAAGCTGATCAAATTACTGGATTACACACAGTTCCCTCTGGTACTTACTCACATGGTGAGAATCACAAGCTTGTTTCAGAACATGTCCAAAGGCTGATAGATAATTTGAATTCTTCTGACTCCAGTGTTAGCTCAAATAATGTGCTTTTAAATTCTCAGGCTGATGACAGAGTTGTAATAAATAAACCAGAATCTGCAGGTTTTAGAGATCTTGGCTCTGAAGAAATCCAGGATGCAGAAAATAGTTCTAAAACTCTTAAGGAAATTCGGACACTTTTGATGGAGGCAGAAAATATAGCACTGAAACGATGCAATTTTCCTGCTCCCCTTGCCCCTTTCAGAGATATTAGTGATATTTCATTTATACAATCTAAAAAGGTGGTTTGCTTCAAAGAACCCTCTTCCACTGATTTGCTTCAGAGACAGCCATTCACAGAGGAAAGCCCAAGCAGCAGGTGCATACAGAAGGATATTGGCACACAGACGAATTTGAAATGCCAGAGAGGCATTGAAAATTGGGAGTTTATTAGTTCAACTACAGTAAGAAGTCCTCTACAGGAAGCAGAGAGCAAAGTCAGTATGGCATTAGAAGAAACTCTTAGGCAATATCAAGCAGCCAAATCTGTAATGAGGTCTGAACCTGAAGGGTGTAGTGGAACCATTGGGAATAAAATTATTATCCCCATGATGACTGTCATAAAAAGTGATTCAAGTAGTGATGCCAGTGATGGAAATGGTTCCTGCTCGTGGGACAGTAATTTACCAGAGTCTTTGGAATCAGTTTCCGATGTTCTTCTAAACTTCTTTCCATATGTTTCACCCAAGACAAGTATAACAGATAGCAGAGAGGAAGAGGGTGTGTCAGAGAGTGAGGATGGTGGGGGTAGCAGTGTAGACTCACTGGCTGCACATGTGAAAAACCTTCTGCAATGTGAATCCTCACTGAATCATGCTAAAGAAATACTCAGAAATGCAGAGGAAGAGGAAAGCCGGGTACGAGCACACGGTAAGAAAAAAGGTTCAGGCTTATAAACGTTATAGCTTAATAATTTGTTTAAAGTTAGATATTTATGATTTGAGGGTGCCTAGCCAATGGAAAATAAAAACAAGATCAGGAAAAAAAAAAGAATTGTTAGAGTGATTATATTTCTTCTTACAATCCATGAAAAGTCTATTTAACCAATAATGTAGTTAAGTTATAGTATTAGTACCAGCCTAAATTTAGGTTCTTGTTTTTAGGAGAAGTAGATTCTGATGTATGGCAGAGAGTAAAGAGGTCGCTTGGCTCCTGAGCTCCTAAAGCTATCATGTTTCCCTAATCCTCCCATTATAGTATCCTTATTGTGAAGGCAGAAAAAGCCTCCAATTTGCTGTGCTCTAAATTGCTTTTTGTCCTAAAACTACATATATTTTCTCTTTCCCTTTTCTAATAAAACTCTTGGTGGTGTTCTCAGACATTTGAAAAAAAATCAATGTATTTTATACTAAAACTTGGATTAGAGGTTTAAAAGAGAATATTTACAAATCTCATTACTTTCTAATAGAATTCCATTAAAAACAAAAATCTGTAAGACAATATGGGGAATATATTTTGGGAGGCAATTTAAAAGCAATTTAGGCCTACCTAGAAATCGTCCCTTGAGGTTAACTTCCTACACTGTTCCTTGCACCTTTTTATTCTTAAAAAAAACCCTCCGAGTTGTATTTATTACTTTTATAAATTGTAATTGTAGCAGGAACTAAAGGGAGAGGCAAAGGGACTCTTGATTAGAAGGAGTATTAAGATAAACATGATTGAATACCAGATTTAAAGTGGCTTTTTTGTAGAATTATCTATAGAGCATGGCTTAAGAAAATCAGACTTTGCGGTGAAATGATCTCTGTCAAGAATTTCTGATAGGTTGTCATAGTTAAGAAGACATACTAAGTATTGCGGTGGGTATTACATTGCATATATTGATGATCTTCTGTGTTCTTGCAATTGTTGCCAAATTATCACTTTTGCATTGTATTATCTCAAGTGTATGCTTTCTCTCCAGCCTGGAATCTGAAGTTCAATTTAGCACATGATTGTGGATACTCCATTTCAGAATTAAATGAAGATGACAGGAGGAAAGTAGAAGAGATCAAGGCAGAGTTGTTTGGTCATGGGAGAACAACTGACTTGTCCAAGGTATAAAAGAAATCTGGAAATGAAAAAAGTAAATATGAAAGAATGGGTGATGGAATTTGGATCTCTTACTTGGGCATCAGTTGAATTGCTGATAATATTTGGCTAAAGTGTAAGGAGCCTTTTTTGGTTTTGTTTTTGAGACAGTCTTGCTCTGTTGGCCAGGCTGAAGTGCAGCAGTGCAATCCCAGTTCACTGCAGCCTTGAACTCTTAGGCTCAAGGAATCCTCCCACCTCAGCCTCTCAAGTAACTGGGACCACGTGTGTGTACCACCCTGCTTGGCTAATTTTTAAATTTTTGGCAGGGACAGGGTCTCTCTACGTTGCCCAGGCTGGTCTTGAACGCTTGGACTCAAGTGATCCTCTTGCCTTGGCCTCCCAAAATGTTGGGATTACAGGCATAAGCCACTGTGCCTAGGAGGGCATCTTAATTTTTCAAAAGTTAAGATGTAAGTATTAGATACTTACAGTCTAGATATGTGAAGTTTTTATTCATTCCAAGTTCATATTTTGAAAAATTTATCTTCTTAGAAAAGTAAGAACTGATTTGCTTGTTTTATCAATATTTTTTAGAACAGAGAAGACTGAATGTCACCGTTATTTTCTCTTGAAAGTGGTATCTTGAAATCTAGATGAAGTCCAGCTATTTTCAAATGTTTATTTTAAATGCTTGAGTACACAGCTATAATAGCTTATATATAAATGACTTTCATTTTAATAGTACATATTTTCCTTCTATTAACTATTTCGTATGTAGGAAAGAGTATATATGAATCATTTATGTAAAGAATAGCAGCAAGTAAATAATAATTCCCGTATATTGACTATCCAGGTTGAGAAATAGAACATTACTAAATACTGTTGAAGTTCTTTGTTTCTCCTTTCCCAGTCATATCTTTTTTATTTCTTATTTTGATATATAATGATTTTCCTGCTCTTCAGTATGGTTTTGAACTCTATGGATGGAATCAATAAGATACATATTCTTTTGAGAACTGGGTGTTTCACACAGTCTTAGGGTTTTGAGCTGCTTCTATGTAGATGTACATAGTTTTCATTTATTCCTTATTACTGTACAGTATTTCAGTGTGTGATTACATAATAATTTATTCATTCTGTGGTTAAGACATTTTGTCTGCTATTTTGCTTAATAATAGGATATAATAATGCCTATCTTAGAGGGTTTTGGTGTGGATTATGTGAGATAATGCCTATAAAATGCTTAGTAGAATATGTGATATCTAGTTAGTACTCAATAACTGGTAGCTATTATTACTATTATTAATCCTGTAAGAATTGATATAGTTATCATACAAGGATTTCATGGCCTGATTCATACAAAGTTTATTAGAAAACTATTCTCCAGTGATATAGTTTATTTGGATTATCTCAGTTTTGGAAAAGTGTTTGAAAAGTACAAATTAGATTGGATTTTAGGTTTTACTTATATGCTTGTGAAAAACAAAATTGACAAAATAATAAGAATAGTAAAATGAACAATTGCTTCTCTTAGCACCATTTGTATATATTCTGCCAAAGTGAGCACTACCCTAGCATCATTTGTTTAAAAGTACAGTTTTCTCAGTGATTTGTGTTTCCCTATTTTTAAAAATTATTTTCTTGTGTTCATATTTCCAGATCCCTCAGCAAGCAAGTTGCCTTCCTTTGGGTAGACTCTAGTTTGTCTGTGTTTTTCTTAAAATAAGGTGTCCTGAATTAGATGAAACACAATTTCACTTCTGATCTGACCAGCATGAAATATATTTAGTAATTCTCTTTCTGTCAGTGTACTGTGAGATCTTTAATGGTCACAGCATAATTGGGCATTAAAAAAAAACAACCATATACTGCTTTCAAACCTTAAAGCTGTAGGAAAAAAGCAAAACAAAACCAGACCAAAAACCATGAACTGCTGCCAAGATTTCTATTCTCATTTCTTGTATGTATGTAATACTTTTTTTTTTTTAAATTCTCTTTTTTTTGAGACAGAGTCTCATTTTATTGCCCAGGCTGGAGTGCAGTGGCATGATCTCGGCTCACTGCAAACTCCACGTCCCAGCTTCAAGTGATTCTCCTGCCTCAGCCTCCTGGGTAGCTGAGATTACAGCTACGTGAGTGGCGTGTGACACCACGCCCAGATGATTTTTGTGTTTTTAGTAGAGATGGGGTTTCACTATGTTGGCCAGGCTGATCTTGAACTCCTGACCTCAAGTGATGCGCCCACCTCGGCCTCCCAAAGTGCTAGGATTACAGGCGTGAGCCATTACGCCTGGCCCTATATAATACTTTTTAACTTTCCTGTATTTCTTTTTATTGCTTTTATATCAGTGTTCAAGCCTGTTGGAATGATTTTTAACCTAAATTTGGTCATTTATTTTATTAAAATATCCCTTTCAGCTTTGTGCCATTTGTATATTTGATAAGTATTTTTATCCAAATTAGTGATAAAAATGTTCACTAAGGGTTATGGATAAAAAGTCTAAAACTTTCGGCTGGGCGTGGTGGCTCATGCCTATAATCCTAGCACTTTGGGAAGCCGAGGTGGGTGGATCATTTGAGGTCAGAAGTTTGAGACCAGTCTGGCCAACGTTTGAAACCCTGTCTCTACTAAAAATACAAAAATTACCTGGGTGTCATGGTGCATGCCTGTAATAGTAGCTACTCGGGAAGCTGAGGCAGGAGAATTGCCTGAACCTAAGAGGCGGAGATTGCAGTGAGTCAAGATCGTGCCAGTGCACTCCAGCCTAGGCGACAGAGGGAGACTCTCTGTTTCAAAAAACAAACAAACAAACAAAAAAAACAAAAAACAAAAAACGTCTAAAACTTTTGAATAAAGAGTACTCTCACACTTATGGTGAGTACTTCATGATACTGTCATTCATCCATCTCATGTTTCACCATCTTATGATTGACTTTCTTCAGTCTATTAACTGAGTAGTTGCGAAATAGTGTTTGACTAGATATGCCTTGTTCTTAGGGAACCCGTATTGGCCACACTGTGGTACAGTTTTGGACCTTTTATTTTTTTAACTTAAATATATTAGGATTTCCCTTTAAAACTTCTCTAAAAGCATAATTTTACATAGGTATATAATATCACGTTGTATGAACATAACAATTTATTCACTACCCTACTGTTGAACATTTATTTATTAATTCCAAAAATACATATTGAATGCCTAATATGTGTCATCACTCATCTATAGGCTGAGGACACACCACTGAACAAAATAGACAAACACATCATGAGCTTACATTAAGTGAGAGTATATGAATAACAACCAAACAGGTAAAATAAATGTCAGATGGTGGGATAAGAGCCAGGGAGACAAAGCAGAATGGTCAATGCAGAACCTGAGAAAGAGGTATTGAGTTAAATATCTGAGTAAGGTGAGAAACTAAGGCAGTTATGAGTGACAAGAGCATTCCAGACAGAAATAGCATGCACACAGTTGCTGAGGTAGAGTGTGAAAGGAAAGGGAGTGTTAAAGGAAAGGGAGGGGTGCTAAAGGAAAGGGAGGAGGCCAGTGTGTTTGAGAGCGAGAGTGAAAGGGAGAAGTCTAGATTGTGGAAGGCATTGGTTCTTGACAGGGATAGTAAATGGCTCCCAAAGAGATATTTTGGAAATTTATGTGATTTTTCTTGGGTCATCACTGTAATTGGGAATTGCTTCTGGAATGCAGTAGATAGGTGTCAGGTATGTTACTATTTCTGTAATGTACAAGACAGTTCCACACAGTGAAGAGTTGTCCCTTGTCACATACAGCTTTTGAATGTCCCTGTAGATATTAATGTTGATGAAAAACCTTTTATAAATTATTTCAGTGTTTGTCATGTTTTAAATGATTTTTTTTAGTATAGGGTGTTTCTTCTGTTTTTTCTTTCTTTCATGACTGACATTTTTGAAGAGTACAAGCTAATTACTTTGCAGATTCCACTCAAATTGAATTTATCTGCTGTGTTACCATGATTTGATTCAGATTTGATTTTTATGTAGGAAAGCCACAGAAGTGATGGGCTTTTCATGCTTGTCAGGAGACACATTATGTTGATTTGCCTCAATACTTGTAATGTTAACTCGACCACTTAGTTAAGGTGGTATCTGCTGGTTTGTGTGTTTTACATATTAATTAACAAGCAGTTAATAAATATTATGAAGAGATTCTTTGAGACTGTAAATATCTCTAGTTTAGGATCTAGTGTTTATACTTGCCTGAATAATTTATTAATAAAATAGCTTTAATTTGGTGATTGAAAAAAATTCTATCATCACTTCAGCATTCATTCATTGGAATTCTGTGGTAAGTTAAAAGTGTCCCTTCTCCATTTATTTATTTATATCATTATGGGCTCTTGGATTTTTCTTCTCAAAGGGTCAGAACCTATCACTATCATTGTTTATTTTTATACTCAAATTACCCCACACTTGCCCATGAGAACCATTTTAAGCTGGTGCCTGTGTGTTTTTCTCATGATCCCATCATTTCATGAGCATTCACCCACTTTCTAAGATAGGAAGATACTCTAGGAATATCTTATATTTTCTTTCTACCAACCCTAGAGCTGTCTGTTTCTCCAAGGGGCCCTGGTTCTTTTTAGCAGAGAATAGCATGTAGAAACTAAGATATGTATGCTTGGTGTGCTTATTGATACTATGATACTGTTGCCTTTATGCCTTTTCAGCAGATGATGTGTATGTACATAATTGCACACACAACCCCCTCTCCTCTGTATGCCTGTTTCCTTATCTATTACTTTTATTATAAAATGAAAGCTGTGAGTTTATACTAGTACGTCCAGTTCCATTCCAGTACTACAGGGTTATTCTAGCCTTTTTTCTTTCTTTATTTGTAACTCACTTCTCTGATAGTAAGAAACTTGGCTCCCATTATCCTCCATATATTTAGTTACTTGTTTAAATTCCCTTGTATGTTTCTCCCTCAGCCACTCTGCTCATCATGCCTGCAACAGATTGAATTTCTTTCCCAGCCCCAAATGTCTTT